CTTATTATCCTTTTTAATGTCTCTACAATTGTAGTGATGACACCCTCTTCTGATAGTGATATTTTGTGTTCTTAATTTTTTTCCTGACTAGTTTGACTAGAGGTTTGTTAATGTTGTTAATCTTCTAGAAAAACAGCTTTTATTTTCATTATTTTCTCTATTCTTGTTTTCTATATTTCCACTCCGATCTTCATTATTTCTTTTCTGCCATTTGCTTTGGGTTTCATTTGCTTTGTTTTTCTAGTTTCTTAAGGAAGAAACTGAGATTCCTGATTTGAGACCTTTCTTTTTCTCTGATACAGGAGTTTAATGCAGTACATTTGCCTGTGGGAACTGTTTTAGTTGCATTCCACAAATTTTCATCAATTTAAAATGCTTTCTAATTTCCTTTTTCATTTCTTCTTTGACCCGTAGGCTATTTGGAAGTGTGTCAGTTGTTTCCATAGGGTATTTTCCAGATCTTTCTGTCACTGACTTTTAATTTAATTCCGTTGTGGCCAAACAATATACTCTGTGTTTTGAATCATTATAAATTTATTGGCAACTTGTATTCTGTCTCATAATGCTATTACGGTAAGTGTTAGATATGTTTATGGAAAGAATATATGTATTCTGCTGATATTGGCTGGGAGTTCTAGAAATGTTGATTGGTGTTGTTCAGGTTGTCTGTATCCTTGCTGATTTCCTGTCTGCTTCTTCTATCACCTGTTGAGAGGGGATGGAAGTTAGTTGTGAATTTCTCTATTAGTTATATAGCAGTTTTTCCTTGATATTTTAAAGATCTGCTATAGATGCATAAACATTTAGCATTACGTTATCTTTTGTCATTGTTAAATGACCTTTATTCCTGGTAATATTTGCTCTGAAGTCTACTTTGTGTAATATTAATTTGGCTACTCAGCTTTCTTTTGATCAATGTTAGCATGGTATGTCTTTTTCCATGCTTTTATTTTCGCCTACATGTATCCTTATATAAAGTGGGTTTCTTTTAAACAGTAGTAACTGATACTTTTTTTTAACCTATGTGACAAATTCTGCTTTTAACTGGGGTGTTTTAGATCATCTCATCTGTTTATTGATAAGGGAGAATTAATTAAAATCTGCCATTTTAGGGCAGCCCTGGTGGCTCAGCGGTTTAGCGCCACCTACAGCCCATGGCGTGATCCTGGAGACCTGGGATCCAGTCCCATGTCAGGCTCCCTGCATGGAGCCTGCATCTCCCTCTGCCTGTGTCTCTGCCTCTCTCTCTCTCCTCTCTGTGTATTCTCATGAATAAATAAATAAAATCTTTATAAATATAAATAAATAAATAAATAAAAAAATAAATAAATAAATAAATCCTGCCATTTTGTCATTTGTGTTTTTTCTATTCGTGCTGCTTGTTTCAACTTTTTTCTTTCTGTCTTCTTCTGGATTGACTGTTTTTATTCCGTTTTGTTGTCTTCATTGGGTTATTTGTTAAAACTCTCATGCTAGCTTTTTGGTATTCATCTTGAACATCCTACAGTTGCCCTTCGCATGACAGACTGCATTACTTTCAGCATAAGAGCCTTAAAATAGTGTGCCTCTGCTTCTCCCTTCCCAGCATTTGTGTTCTTTTTTTTTTAAGATTTTATTTAACATTTTTTATTTGTGCTGTTCTTGTTAAAGTTCTCCTTCCATGTTTTGAGCCCACAGTATAGAATCCATGTTTTTGCTTCAGATAATTCTGGGTTGAGTATTTTTTGTTTGTTTTCAGAACTTAAAAATGTTACTCCACAATATTCCAGCTTGTATTGTTTCTAATGAGAAATCTGCCATCACGTCATGTTTGTTTTCCTTTGGGGAATACCTCTTTTTTTCTCTGGCTAGTCTTAAGATTTTTCTCTTTATCTCTGGCTTTAAGCAATTTGATCGTGACGTACCTTGGAATAGTTTTCTTTCTATTTCTTATGCTTGGAGTTCACTGAGTGACTTAAGTCTGTGGATTTTCATCAAATTGATAAATTTTTTTTGTCACTGTTTCTTCAAATATTTTGTCTGTCCCCCCGCCCCCGCCCTAAGTCTGTGTATCACACAGCTCACAGTTCATTTTTTTCTAGCCTTCTTTTGGTGTGTTTTAGTTTAGAGTTTCTATTATTGTCTTCTAGTCATTCATCTTTTCCTCTGTGAAACTGAATCTGGTCATGTGCCTTGCAGTTTTCATCTCTAGGCAGTGGGTTTGCTTCTTTCATAAAATCTTCCATATCTATTGCACACGTTTGATTTTTCCTCTAGCTTCTTGAGCATTTGTGACACAATTTTAACTTTGATGTCTTTGTGTGCTTTATCATTTTTACCTTTTTTGAATCTGTCTTGTTTGAATTCTTTCTCATTTTGGTCATGATTTCCTGTTTCTCTGCATGTCTGGTAATTTTTTTATTGAATGCTAGAGTTTGTGAATTTTGCCTTTTTTGGTTACTGCGTATTTTTGCCTTCCTATAAATATTCTCAAGTTTTGTTTTAGGTGTAACTTGGAAACAATTTGATCCCTTTGGCTCTTTTTAATTATTGTTAGACTGCATTTAGTCTGGAGTTTCTTTCTCTCCACTAATGAGGTAGGACTCTTCTGAGTACTTGACCCGGTGCCCCACAAGTTATGAGTTTTTCCAGTCTGGCTCCTGAGAACAGGCAGTTTGTGGTCTTGCTGAACTTCAGTTATCGTTTCCCTGTTGTCCTTTGGGGTGGTTCTCTCCTTAGCCCCGGTGGTTTCCACTCACACCACACACTGTTCAGTACTTTCCTTCATTCCCTGCGGGGGTCCTCTCTGGATCTCTGGAGTCTTACTTTTGTGCAGCATTCTCTTCTCCAGGACTCTTTGGAGCTGTCCTGTGAGTGTTACCTGCTTTGATTTCCCCCCAATTTTTAGCTGCATCCACTCACCTCTAAGGTTTCTACACCCCCCTGGAATACATCTCCCTGCTTTGTAGCCTGGAAATGTTCTTTTTTTTTTTTTTTTTTTTCTTCCTGGAAATGTTCTTGATACAGTAAGGCTCACCTCACACGTGCCCTGACTCAGGGGTCACTGTCCTTTGTTGCTTGATGTCAGTTTCTGGAGAATTGGTGTTTTCTTATATTTTATACTTTTTTTTTACTTCCTTGTTTCAGGTAGGCAGTTAAATATATCCCTATGACTCCATCTTGGTTGGAAGCCTTTATAAAATATACATCATTGTGACTCTTTTGTCTGTGTTCTACATTTAACAAAGGCTTTCCTTCTGGTTAGGTTGATTGATTTACTGCAGTGTGTGGTGGCAGGTGGAGAAGAGCAAACACTGGGTTCATAATTCCTTTCCCTGGCCCTTCTTCCCTTCCCCACCTCAGAGTGGAAGACTCTCAGACATCTGCCTGACCTTGGTGGGGATATGGGTTGTCCCTCCTTGTAGAGCACTCTGAAGAGGCTCTCTCATGAATATGCACAATGGTACTTGATGCCCTGCATGACCATCCAGGGGTGGTGGTGAGGGGAGGGCTCAGGCCTAGCTTCCGTGTCCAACCTGGTTTGGTGGGTTCATCTTCCTTGGTTAATTAGAGTGATGATTGGCCCTGGTTACATAGGCCAATGATGGGACAGGACTCAGGGATGGGAATAGTTTCTTTTTCTTCCCAGTTTTCAGTGGAATGATTCTAGGACAAGGAAGACCACAGAGGGAGCAGCACCACAGTAAGAGAGCTCTGTTTGTTTCATCTTCCTGTGTTTTCAGGATGGTGTGCAGTATGTTTGCCCATGTAGCAGCTGTCACCTCACTTCACAAGTCTGGTTTGAAGGACCGGAGTAAATGTTTTTGCCTGTGTAGGTAATTTAATCTCTCTTAGTCGTCAGTCTCAACTCTGCTGTTGTAGCTCAAAAGCAGCCACAGACAATACATATTTGTGGCTGTGTTCCAATGAAACTTTATTTAAAAAACAAATAGAATGGGACGCCTGAGTGGTCGAGCGTCTGCCTCCAGCTCAGGGTACTGGGATCAAGTTCCACATCAGGCTACCTACAGGGAGCCTGCTTCTCCCTCTGCCTATGTCTCTGCCTCTCTTTGTGTGTGTGTCTCATGAATAAATAAATACAATCTTTAAAAACAAAAACCAAGTGGGAAGGGCAAGAGTTGGCCTGAGGGCTGTAGTTTGCCAACCCCTGCCTCAGTTCAAGTCCTCACTTTACTGAGTTGATATTTTTGTGTGTTTCCTTCTATTACAGTTGCTTCCAGAAACCATTGCCAGTTCTACCTTGCTTAAAACATAGATCTCATCATGTAACTTACTGACTGAATAACCTCTGGCTCCCTATAACATTCCCGGTAAAGGTCAAAATTATTTTACACTCAAAGCCTCCATAGTCTGACCCTTTTCCTATTTCTGATCGTACCTCCAGTGACTCCCTGTCAGCTCACACACAGTCTATTTGCAAGTTTTCCTGCCCTGATATTTCTGTAAGCCTTACTTTTTCTGGAATATTTTCTCTCTTCTTATTACATTATGTAAGTCTTTTGAAACCTGCCTTGGGAGCCCTGTTTACATCCCACCTTCTTTAAGGATTCTGGAGCCCCTCAGGTGCAGGCAGTTTCTCCTTCCTTCATGCTGTTTGAGCACTACTGTTGTGCCCTCCTGATTTGCTCTTGGTCAGAAATGTGTGTGTGTGTGTGTCTTCCTTGTTGCCCAGAATCCCTCTGGAGGTGAGAGGTGTGCCCTCTTGTGACCTTTGTAGTCTAGCACAGAGTCCCACTCAGAGCAGAAATGTGTCAGGTGTGTGTCTGAGGTGTGGCACATAAAGATCCATGTCTGGGGGTGCATTGCTCTGGGGACTCGTGTAACTGTGGGCACAGCTCTTGGCTTCTCCTTGGGGCCTGTGTGCAGGCCCCTGAGGAGGTGGGCTGAGCTCCTGGGCCAGGTGGCCGCGGAGGCAGGACCAGGCAACGGTAGGCCTGGCTGTCCCAGGTCTCCACTGCTGCTGCCGCTTCTCAATGGCCTCTTGCCCTTTGGTTCCACAGAGCTGCAGTGCAACCCTGGGCAGTTTGCCTGTCGCAGCGGCCCCATCCAGTGCATCCCCCTGCCCTGGCAGTGTGACGGCTGGGTGACTTGTGAGGATGAGAGCGACGAAGCCGACTGTCCAGGTGAGTGTGTCAGGCAGGCGGCCACCCGACGCCCTGCCTCTCCATCACAGCTGCATTGATTGTGCTTCCAGGAGGTGGGGGTGGGGTGGCACCGGCTGTAGCCTGTGCTCTATCCACTCACTGGAAGCTTATGTTGAGCTGACCCCTTCCCTTCTCTCTTTCTCTTCCTATCTCTTTAAAAATAAATCCCAACACAGGCAGATCCCAGAACTTACAAGGTGGCAAGGTCAGGCAAGAAGGATGCCAGGGACACCACATTTTGGGAGGCATGCTGGCCCAAGAGCAGTGCCCGTGAAGCATGGTGCCCTCTTGCCTCCTCTTTGCCTGGCTTTGGGTGCCTTTTGAGACCTGGCTACAATCCTGACATGGGTTGTTCAGACTGGCTTTGGCTTTGCCAGATGCATCCTGTTCACTCAGTCCCTTGTATTTTTTCTGTTGGAAGTTTTCTCCTGACAACACATGGGCTCCTCAAGATATGTGCCAATGCCACAGAAAGTCTAAATTGTTGGTTCTCTACTTGGTTTCTGCCCCAGCACCCTCAGGGAGTATAACACACCCTAAGAGTAATGGTGTTCACTACATCCCTGGTATCCCTGCATCCATGATGCATCCCATCATGCATATGTGTGGGACCCAGGTAGTACCAATAAAGCCCCTAAGAAGATGTGTCTTATTCTACCTTGAGAACCTCCAATCTAATATAACTCTTCAGCCTGGCATTTAAATTTCTGAACATTCTGGTTTGGTTCTACTTTGCCAACCTGATTTACTGCTATTTCCCCTTAGTGATTCATCTGGGCTGTTTCCTGTGCCCACCCATGAAGAATTTTCTAGCCACATGCTTCATTCATGCCTTTCTCTTTTCCTGGGATCCTTTTGTTCTCTTTCCATGTGGACAGATCCTGCCTGTCCTTCAAGGCTTGGCTCAGATAATACCATAACAAGATGGCATCTCTGAGCCCTCTGGGTGGAGATTGGCTTCTTCCAGCACCTATTCCCTCTCTCTGACAGCATCTAGAGCCACCAGTAATTCTCACCATTACCTGTGCCCGTGCTTGATCTCTCCTTCCAGACTGTGAGTTCTCTGAAGACAGACCTATCCTCTTTCTAAGCATGGCCTGACCTAGAATGGAAGTCCTTTTTAACATTCAGAAAATGAAAGGAATGTTGTAATTCCTGTAGGTCAGGTACTGAAGAAAAACCAGCTAACTCAAACCATAGGATCAGGTCAGGTATCAAATACAAGGTGACATTTGAGCTTAGGACGGTTTTTTGAAGGGGGTTCCAAAATAAGGAACAAAGGTGATCTGGTCAGACAGTTTGCCTGAAAAGACAGCCTTTAGAGGAAATCCCAGTTTTCCCTTGAGCCTATTCATTGGATTGTGCATGTCTCTGCTTGACATGCTTGCCTTTCCAAATGAATTTGAATGGTGGTAGCTGGACAGAAGGTTCTGGGAGCTATGTCTGGGAGCCCACCTGCTCCTTCCTTAGGTCACAGCCCAGAGAGCATAAACTATCCAGTGCTTGGGATGCCGATGCTCCATGTTCTGTCAGCTGTTGAGGACCAGTGGTTGTGACTGGGAGCTTTGCTGGGTCAGACTTAATGAGGTGAGGCTTCATATCCAGCCTTCTAGAGAATATTCTGAACAAACCAAAAGACTCTTGGCTTCCTTTAAAGTGGAAGCACTACTTATTTGCTGCTCTCAAAGTGCCATTTGGCTTAGCTTTTAAGATTATATGTAACTGTTCTGTAGTATATATACTGAAAACAATGGTAGGCACTCTAGTTCATCTAGTTCATCTCTCCATCTCCTGTGGACTTGATAAAAAGACAGGAACCTGATAAAGGCAGGGACTAGATTTGATTTCTCTTTTGGGTCACATGGTCGGCACAGAAGGTCACAAGTCTGCCTAGCACAAGTGTTGATTTGAGATTACAGAAGTTGCTATCTTTTCTCCCCAGACAGAGAAATAAAGTCTTTCCAACAGGAGCCCAGAGTTCTGAGTGGATAGTGTACTCCAGGCCCTAGCCACTGAGGGCATGATGAACATGGCCATGTGTGGAAGCTCATGGATCCCTGATAGGCCAGGGAGGATTTGAGGAGTGGGGTGGGAGGGCTGAGGTGCTGTCGGACCTTCTGGCTCATTCCTGGCTTCCCCTTGTGTTTGGTACTGTTTCTGTCCCGTGGTGTAGTGCCACACCAGGAGGCAGGTGGGTGATAAACTTTCATTTCTGATTGTTCTTAAAGTTGGGATTCTGAGAAATGTGTTATCAAAATGTACAAAGAATAATGTAATATTGTTTCTCACTTCCCTGAATCAATCAATAGTTGCTGAAATATCATATTTTCTTGTTTATTTTTTTAAATTAATTTTTAAAAGGCATCATGAATATATCAAATCCTTGTTAACATTCCCCCCTTCCAAAAAAAGAAAAGCCTTTGTGTGTGGAGAGGGGAGTATGGACAGGGAGTTAGCTGATAACTACCTTTACCATTGCCTTCCTGCATATGGAGAGTTTAACTAACTTGTGGATAGTCCTGGCCATGCTTTGTCTTTTTTTTGAATATGGGCTTCAGGATTTTTGGAGGGACCATACAAGATTATGGCATTGTCCTGCTGAAAGCCTGCTAAAATTACAGTAAAAGAGCATAAAAGATATAAAGCCATGGTAAAAGAGTATAAAAGATAGCAAATGGGAGAAGATGAAACAGCAGACCAGTAATTTCAGCATGGTTTTGGAAGATAGGAAATGGATGGTGTACTAGATATAGTAAGGGCATTCAATACATTGCCTGCATTTCAGGGGCTGGAAGGCTGGAGCTGTCTCATTCAGAACCCCCTGGCAGCGGGCTTTGGCTTCATTTAGCCCAGGAGATCCTTGCCATGGAGTTTGGAAGGTAGAAGGGAGGTGGACTCCTTCCTCCTCTGGCAGTGGTGTGGGTGCCTGGGCTTAGATTGAGGTGAGTGAGTACAGGGGCCTCCACAGCCTCCTCTGACCAGCCTTCGTGGGGCTGCAGAGCAACTGTGATTAGCAGAGGTTTTCTGCAGTTTCCTATACTGTGGACGGCTTTCTGACTCCGACTACAACTGCAGAAGTGAAATGGAAGGCTAGAGTTCGCTCACTTTTGTGCACACTCTAGCCTCTTCAATTGTTCTGAAAGTACTTAATGTCCTGTATTAAACTCCACTGTTTTTGAAAATACCTAGCATGACATCTGTTCTTCTGACCATTTTTGATGTAAATGGGGACTAACATAAGATACATAACATTTTTTAATGGAGAAAAATGTACAACTTTATTAAGAGATATTAAGGAAGATTTGAATAAATAGAGACAGGATATTCTTTGCTAGGAAGACTGAATATGGTAAAGTGGCGTGTTCTTAAATTGATCTATGGAGTCAGTGCATCTCCAGAGGGTTTTTGGGAAATGTGGCAAGTCAGTTTTGAGATGTTTGGAAGAATAAAGTCCTGATATGGTATGACACTCTGGAGGGGAGTAAGCTATGAGCAATTGCCTTACCCAGTTCAAGACTTATGGTTTTTTTGTTTTTGTATTCTTTTTTAAAGATTTTATTTATTTATCCATGAGAGACACAGAGAGAGAGGGAGAAGCAGGCTTCATGCAGGAGCCAGATATGGGACTCGATCCCAGGACCCTGGGATCATACCCTGGGCCGAAGGCAGATGTTCAACCACTGAGCCACCCAGGCGTCCCAAGGCTTATGTTTTTGTTGCTCAGCAAAGCACAGATTGGCCTGTGCCACAGAAAAGCTGCCAGAAACAGACCCAAGAGGGACTCCTGGTTGAGTGTCTACCAAAGGCTCACCGCAGAGAGCCTGCTTCTCCCTCTGCCTGTGTCTCTGCCTCTCTCTCTGTGCATCTTATGAATAAATAAATAAAAACCTTAAAAAAAAAAAAGAAAGGAACAGACCCAAGAAACAGTACATGACACAGATAGAAATACAAATACATACCACTAGGCAGAAGATAGGTTCTTCAGTCATAGTGCTATGACAGTTGGGAAAGAGTGATACACAGAACAATCAGCTTCAGGTTAATTGCAGAAAAACTTGTAGAACACAATCCAGGAGAATACCTTTATGACCTTGATAGGAAAGTGTTTATTTTTTTTTTCAAGTCACCAAAAAAATCACTCTAAAATAAAAATAACTAGTTTACTAGATTAAAATTAAGATCTTCCCTTTATCAAAAGGTACTTATAAAGAATGTGAACAGCCAAGCCACAGAGTGGAAATATCTTTACAACACGTATAGCCCGTAAAGGGTTATAGTTCAGCATATATGAAGAGCTCCTATACATGAACAAAAGAAACAAGGCATGTCACAAAAAAAATTAATAAGAACAATGGTTAAACATACAAAAAGATACTCAACCTCATTAGTATTCCAAGGCAATGGTGAGATTCAACTTTACAGTTGTTTAGATTGGCAAAAATTAAGATATCTGATAAAACCAAGTGTTGAAGAGGATGTGAGTGACTTGGAAATCTTATCTGCTGCTGGTGAGGAGGATAATTGGTGCACCTGCTTTGGAAAACTGGCATTAACTTGTAAAGTTGAACATTCTCATTCTCATATTCTGTGATCCAAGATTTGTGTTTGGGGGAATCCTAGAGAAATTCTTGCAGCACTCATCATGCTAATAAACATCTTGGAAACAACCCAGAAGTTTATGTTCACATGGTGGCATATTATGGATCGACAACAGTGAGTAAATAGTAGGTTCTTGCAAAACATCAGTGGATCTTAAAGGCAGCATGTAGATGACAAAGGCAAATAGCCAAAAAGTATATACAGCACAATAAAGACAAGCAAAAGTGACCCTTGTTGTTTTTTTTTTTTTAAAGATTTTATTTATTTATTCATAGAGACACAGAGAGAGAGGCAGAGACACAGGCAGAGGGAGAAGCAGGCTCCATGCAGAGAGCCTGATGTGGGACTCGATCCAGGGTCTCCAGGATTACGCCCTGGGC